AAATATAACAAGCTGGGTAAAGATCATTAATAAAATACGTAAATGAAAACAAGAAAATGAAACCAAACTGAACCGAATCAACACATAACAAAACCAGATCAAATCGAAACAGATCAAAACACACCTCGGTGGTGGTGTGAGCACATCAAAATTGTTCGACAGGTCAGAGTTTGAATTTGAGTTGTAACTGGATGTTGAGTTTGATGCGTTACTCGTTTTACGAGATCTTAATATTGACGGCGACACTGAGAGTGACGACGATGGAGACGAGCGATTCGTTGAATTTAGATTAGAAGCATTTGCTGATTCGTTATTAACTCTATTGCAATTGTCACCTTCATTCCATGCTTGATTACGACTCTTATAACCTAAATCTTATATTCCATTAAACGATGACCAGCCCCGTCCCACGCCAGCATTCAACTGATTGTTATTAATCGCAAATATTAGTAATTCGACTTGCCCTTCATTTTCAAAAATTCATCAATTTGTCCAATTAATTTCTCAATTCGGTACAAAGATAACAATAATAATGACTGCAACAATTTCATATTAACAATAATAATATTGAAAATGCTAACGAAAGCAACCTCGAGGTTGTCTTGTTGATGTACAGTTTTTAAGATGAATGTATGGGTGTGATGTTATTTTAGTTCCACCATTCTTTGCACGTCCATCACTATTATTATTATTTCTATCTCTCGTCGATTCTGATGACCCTCTCCTCGAATCGCTACTAGTTCTGTTCGATGCTGATGCAACCTCGCTCGTACAATTCTTCAGAAGTGTATATTCACCACGCTGTAATAATAACTGTGAACGTTATCAGCAATATTAATCACAATTCAACAAATTAATAATAAACAGATGACAACAATAAAAACAATAATAATAATATCAACAATAACATCAAATCTACAATTAATTAACACTAACACTTTTTGACTTCTCTTTCTCATNNNCAGAAACATAACGAATAAATAAACAACTATAAAAATGACACAAAAGAAACGAACCCGCAAACTGTTCATTAATATTCAACGTATCCATTGAATATGGTTCATTGTCGTCCTGCTTCTCCAAATTGCATGCATAACATAACTGCGCAACCCAGCGATTCATCTCCTTAAATTATCACTATCAATATCCTCAATATCCGGTTCTGATAATATCTAAAGTATCACAAACAAACTCTATCACCATCACTGGAACATCAAAAAAAGAATCACACTTAAAAATTTAAAAAAGACGCAACCTTGCACTGAAAAGTTCGTGAATATCGAACGAGTGCACTCGGATTCAACTTTTAAAACTGATGTAACATTCAAAGGATTCTGCATTCATTCTGATAGTATGCATGCAATAGTATCGATTGAACAGAATATAATCTTATCGAAATATGTCACTATTCATATTCATATACACAAACACACATCTATATAAACATACTTAAAAAAACATGCACACTTACAAATGGAAATATCTCTATATAAATATATTTATATGTAAACATATTTTTATCTGCGTACATACACAATAAAATATATTAGTGATGTAATGATAAGCAGATTAAATGACTCTGCGATCGCAATGAACTGATAATAAAAGTAACCAGAAATCTATCGTCATTCCTCCCATCTTTCTTTAAACATCTCTTACAAACCATCACAAAGTGAATATTTATCACTATTATTATTGCTACCCATTACAACCGTTGCTTTACCAGGAATGTTTTCTATGACCGATGAGATGATATCATTTCAATAAGCAATGACAAATCGAATTAAATCAAAGAAAGAAACAGCCATCACGTTCAATAACTATCTCTTAANCTATTCTTATTATGTACCGCTTGTCCATAAATATTTACATTACATATTTTTATCATTACACAAAGAACATTTGCTCAAGCAATAAAAACTGTTACGTCTATGAATAAATACGCATCATTACAGCATTAAATATGAATCAGTTACGTCTGTATTGCGTTATTCCTTATTATTTTTATACTCTCAATATTACCGATTCAATTCAAAATTCATCAACACAAGTGTAAAAAAATGTCTATATCAGTTATCCTTAAAATATGTAAAATATGTCTCATCGTATTTTGAACATATTCGAAAATTTCCTTCCAATTATATGAATAATTCATTTGTGACGAGCAACAACATTACCTTACACTGATACTATAAGATGATCAGTCTAGTACTTCACTGAGTTAATAATTCTATGCGCATATATTAATGCGTAATCGCAAGCAGAAAATAATAACGAATAAACAAAGAAAATAATAACATCTTCAGATGAAGCAGCCAAATAAAGAACGGATTTGTTCTTATTGGAATGATGACCATCCTCGATATTACCACTCTCATTATTACCATTCACATTATGAATATCAGCATTGCCACAGAAATGTATAGCAAATATCCAACTCTTCGTATTATCTTTTGACGAAATATTCGTATCGACCTTAACAATTTCTATTTTGAGCAAACCATTCAAATGCATGAAAAAATTAAATTCACATTGATTGACATTTACAGTGAAGTTAGAATTCATCACGACGAATATATTGAATTTATTTAGAATTCATCAATATCCAACAAATTAGAGTGGATTTCACCACTCTTTAATACAATTATATCTGCATTTGATAATGACTTTAATAATAATAATCAAAAACAACAATAACATCAATAACGCGAAGAAAAATAAGAACAACATTAGATATAAGAACCTGCGATACTCGGTCCATCCGTAGTGTTTTACGAATTTTGGAATTACGATGTTGACTGGTATACTGATCCAGATAGAACGCGTCCGGAATCTCTCCACAACGTAATACAAAATATCGCTTACTCCATTTTGCCTTAAAATATTATTTAAATGACGATCTTCCTAATGTTGATAATAATGATATTGACGCACTAAATCAATTAAGCATACAGAACGTCCTTTTATGCAATCAAAAGCTGTCCATTGCTCCGCTAGAGCATTATGCTTCCATTTGATATTCAAAACATCGTTAAGACAATAACAAAAATCACTAAAATAATTCTCGCGGTGAGCCTGGATTCAATCGGCATTCATTCGCTTGAAACGATTGGACCAAAACAGTGATTCAATGGAAGGCGACAATCATCAATGAATAAATAGGCTTACATAATGAAAACAAATAGGAATTTTCAACGGAACAAAAAGCAAAATAAATGAAAATGAAAAACAAAGAATGAACATTATTCATGAATGAAACAAACCTTTGAACGTCGTCTAGTGAACTTTAAGAAAGTTTCTTTGCGTTGTTTTGATTTCTCGAGAACACCCTCGATAAGCACGTAAGGAGTGTGCTCTTCAATCACACCATCCATCGAACTCTCGTTTGTTAATAAACGTTTTGACATTTTCGTTACGTTAAAGCATGCATTGATTTGGTTCGTTGTTTATGTTATACAATATATTTTGCGGCCGCTTTCAAATTGCTTTGTCTGTTTCGTTGCTGCAATTACGCCGCATCACTAACGTTATTGAAGAACGAAAGAATATACGATAAACAATGAATAACATAGCATTGAATATTCCAAAAAGCATGCGAAAGCAAATTCAAACATTCACTCTCGACTGCGAATGCCTCAAAATGAACAAGCACTTCACAACGTAATAATTACAGAACAAACGATTACAATTAAAATTAACAAAAAATCGGAAATATGAACGCTACGGTTGCTCTGCCAAATACACGCTGCAGTGTCAGAGGAAAGTAGCAGATCGCATCAAGTAAAGAGGAGGGGGGTGGCGATGAATTGCTGAACTTTCTTTTTGCAAAATCTGCCCGATTNTTTTCCGGCACTAGAATTCTTATTTTGAAATTGAATTGTCCGTGTGGTCAGCAGCGCGTTCACATGCCAGCCAAGGGTGTATTTTCGAGAGACTCATCATCATCGTTGCTACCTCATAGTCAGAAACGATGGTCAGTTCTAAGCAAATACTCCAACATTTCCAGCTGATTTATTAGCAATTCATTTAGAAAATATTCCAGAATTTAAATGAACGTCTTCGATTATCATCAATTACAGGTGAACAAAATCATTTATCGTTGCATACTTTCAGGCGTGCAGGAATGACACTGAAAAGAGGACCAATGGTAAACGTTCATAGCATCTCTAGAGCATATTCGTTGTTTAATTCAAAAATCATTGTAATGGTGCAATCGTCTGTGTAAATTTCAGCTGCCCACACCGATGCGCTTTCCATCAGCAACATTCACTCCTCCTCCTCAACGATATCCACCTCAAATGGAGCCGAGCAGCGGGATACGGCCCCGAACGTACGGCTTCTTCAATCAGGCACTGCCTTCTGTAGCAGTCGGTTACGTTAATCAGGTTCAGTTCTTCTTCTTCGTAACGAAATTATTCGCAAATGATTTGAAACCAATTCGGAATGCTTATCAGAACATGTTAAAATTTTTGAAAGGCAAAATTCCACGATAATTCCAAGAAATAATTTTTTCCGTTGCAGAAACGAAAGCAGATCCAAGACAACACCACAAATAATAATGCGAAAGGTTTGCTTTGATTTATCGGACTCAAAACGTTCCAACAACAAAAAAACCACAAGGAAATTAACCGTTTGCTAGTGTTTCCAGCAACCTTTTTCAGTGGAAATCTCATCATTTGCTGAAAAGTTTGCGTCGACATTGAAAAGTGAACCTTATCTGGTGTTCATTATCATTTCATCAGAAAGGGAGGTAATTTCTTTCAGCCACCAAAATTGCCGCAGATGCTGACTCGAAACTGCCGAATTGTTCTGGAGCAACGAATCCCTCATCACAGAAATCGGCATCAGCAGTGACCAGTGATGTATGTTGATAAAATAATTTCACTTAGAGTTTATGAAACACGAGCCAGCAGGCAGCGATTTTGCTGAAATCGAAAGTTCCTCTTTTGAAACTATAGGTTTTGCTTAAATCGAAAGTTTGTTTGGTTCTATTTTTAGCATAGCTCTTACATTTGGATGCGTTATATTATACAAGCTGGAGTCGGAGGATAATTTGAGTAGTTAAAACAGAAGGGAACTTGTTATGAAGTAAGATTCATGAATATTTTGTGCCGAGGTGTCAGAACATTTCAGAAATCTCAGCTCATTCAACCTCCACTTTTAAATGCCGTATCGAGCGACGGATCCCTAACCGAAACCACTGGAAATAGATCTGCTTCATTGGTAAATTGATTTCTTAATCACATATTTTATTCATATTACTATTGGGTTATCACTGACATTATTAGTATCATTACATAAATTGTTATTATGTTCAAGTTCGTGTACTGTTTCAAACGGTAGAAAATGATTCTGAAAGCTTCAAAATGAACCAATTTGAGCGGTCAGCATCCAACAATGGTATAGCTGATAGATCCGTTGTTCTGTTTAACTGCCTGTTTCTAGAATCTAGATGGATTACCTAACATTCGGATGATTTTGGAATTATTTATGTTTTTGAATGTCCACTCAAGAGTTGAAAATTTAACTTTAAGGTTCAGTCACCACCAACAGAGGAGCAGTTGAATGTTGTTATAAATGAATTGTTTGGTATGTTTTTTTTTNTTTTTTTTTGTTTTCATGAATCTTTTTAAGTGTTTTTCATCGACATTTCAAGAAGTTTTGCAAAGAGTGCGGAATTTTGATGAAAAAATTCGTTTTGACGGAAACGAACTCTGAATCATTGACTTATAGAATCCTTGAAAGTGTTATTCGAAGAGCGATTGAATTTACACAAAAAATTTCCAATCATCGATCATTTCAAAATCCTCTCCTCAAGCGGAACTTAACGTTTTTCTTCTAGTACAAATCGGTTCATCGAATTCAGTATTCAGTAACGCTTCAGTTATAATTATTATTCGGAGTAAATGATCAGAAGAAATATTTGAAAGTTTCAGCAAAATTATTATGGAAAAAGCTGGATTTGATAAAGGATCCGTTGCGTTTATCGCAACTTCAAATCGAAATCATGAACATTCTGCAGCAAGCAGTCGCTGAGGAAGAGAACACTTCTAAAGGATCGTCTTCTTGATCTAATGATTGATTCAAGTTAATTTATTCATTCAATTATTCGTGTGACTGAACGA